ACTCATGTTGTTGCAAATGGCTCGAGTCCATTCTTTTTTATTGCTGAGTAGTATTCCATTGTATATATGTACCACCTCTTCTTTATCCCTTCATCTGTGGGTGGACATCTAGGCTGCTTCCATTTCTTGGTTATTACTAGTAGTGCTACAATGAATATAGGGGTGCATATATCTTTTCAAATTAGTGTTTCTGGCCCTGGCCAGTTTGGCTCAGCGGTTAGAGCGTCCACCTGCAGTCCGGAGAGACCCGGGTTCGGTTCCCGCTAAGGGCATGTACCCCGGTTGCAGTTTGTCCCCGGCCCTGGTTGGTCGTGCGGGTGGCAGCCACTCGATGTGTCCCTTTCACGTCGATGTTTCTCTCTCTCTCTCTTCCTCTCTCTCCCTCCCACTCTATCTGTACAAAAAATGGAAAAATGTCCTCGGGTGAGGATAAAAAAAAAAATTAGTGTTTCTGTTTTCTTCAGATAAATACCTAGAAGTGGAATAGCTGATTCAGATGGCAGCTCTTATTTTTAATTTTTTGATGAATCTCCATACGGGTTTCCATAGTGGCTGCATTAGTTTACAATCCCACCAACAGTGCACGAGGGTCCCCTTTTCTTCCCGTTCTCTCCAGCACTTGTTGTTTGTGGATTTATTGACGGTAGCCATTCTGACAGGTCGGAGGTGATACCTCATTGCGGTTTTCATTTGCCTTTCCCTGATGATTAGTGATGCTGAGCATCTTTTCATATGTCTGTTGACCACCTGCAGGTCCTCTGCCCATTTTTAATTGGATTGTTTTTTGTTTTGGTGTTAAGTTGTATGAGTTCCTTATGTATTTTGGATATTAACCCCTTACCAGCTTTAGCACTTGCAAATATCTTCTCCCATTCAGTAGGTTGTCTTTTGTTATGTTGATGGTTTCCTTCACTGTGCAAAACCTTTTTAGTTTAATATAGTCCCATTTATTTATTATTATTATTTTGTTTCCCTTGCTTGAGGAGATATACCCAAAAAGATATTGCTAAGACAGATGTGCAAGAGCTACTGACTGTGTTCCCTTCGAGGAGTTGTATGGTTTCAGGCCTAACATTTAAGTCTTTAACCCATTTTGAGTTTATTTTTGTATCCGGTATAAGAAAGTGGCCCAGTTTCATTTTTTGGCACGTATCTGTCCTGTTTTGCCAACACCACTTTGTGAAGAGACTATCTTCACCCCACTGTATATTCTTGCCTCCTTTGTCTTATATTAATTGACCACAGAAGCAAGGATTTATTTCTGGACTCCGAGAGGTCTTTCTGATGCTACACAGCTCAGCACATCACTCTGCTAATTAAACCCTGGAGCGGCTCCCCACCGTCCTCAGGGTAAATGTCAGCCTCGCAGAACGCTCCTTCCCACAGGCGGCCCTGGCTGGCGCCCTCTGTTTTCATCTGCACCCCCGTATACCGCAGTCCCTTCTCTCGGGCCATGCTGAGTTAGTTTTCTGAAATGCCATTCCCTTTTCTGACCTTGACCGTTTCACACGCGACACTGCGCCGGTCACCCCTCCCCTCGCTGTCGGGCTGATTTCCTCTTCAGGCTGACTCCCACTCTTCCGGGAAGCTCTCCCCGATCTCTCGCCCAACCTCAGACCTGACGGGTCTGTTCACATGCATTTCCTGGGCTTCCTTGCAGCTTAGCGGAGGTCACCCCACCGTGTTCTCGCCAGGGCGGGCGGAAGCGGTGTGGGTCACGTGCGACCCAGTCATCCGAGCCCTCCGCCCCTCCCGCAGCCGTAGGGGTCATGTGCTTAACGTGGCAGGGTCACAAGGTAGACGGGTTACAGTGAGACCGCTGAGCTGAGCGGCCTGGGCCTTTGGACGCCATGTGCTGGGTCCCTGAGATCTCCGGGCTTGTTCCCTGGCCACGGCCTATCCTCTCCTGGTGACACTGCGGCACCCCTGTCCTTGTGATCGTAACCTCCTCACATCATACAGCTCACATCACACACGTCTCGCGTTGTCTTCTCCACCGGACTGGAGTTTCCTGATGGTCTTTAGTTTTCTTTCTCTCCCTCTACTCTACTCACCCACTCCATCATCCTTGACGTACAGTTGGCACTTAGTAAATATCTTTTTTTTTGTTATCCTCAGCTGAGGACATTTTTGCATTCATCTTCAGATAGAGTGGGAGGGAGAAAGAGAGGAAGAGAGAGAGAAACATCGATGTGAGAGAGACACATCGACTGGTTGCCACCCACACGACCCCAACTGGGGCCGGGGATGAACTGCAACCAAGCAAGGTACTTGCCCTCAGCGGGAACCGAACCCGGGACTCTTCTGGTCTACGGGCCGATGCTCTAACCGCTGAGCCAAGCCAGCCGGGGCTTAGTAAATATCTTTTAAAAAAATTTGAAACGTGGGTTTCATCTCCACAGACCCAATACAGAAGAGACTTAAACCTAGAAGCAAATAAAAGTAGACATACCTAGGAAAATGAACAATTATAAAATGTAACCTTCGCCCTGGCCGGTTTGGCTCAGCGGTTGGAGCGTTGGCCCGAGGACCAATGAGTCACAGTTGCGGTTCGTCCCTGGCCCTGGTCGGGTCATGCGGTAGGCAGCCAGTCCATGTGTCTCTATTATATCGATGTTTCTGTCTCTCTCTCTCTCCCTCCCTCCCTCTCAATCCATCTGATAATAAGTAGAAAAATATCCTCAGGTGGGGAATTAAAATGTAACCTTCTCCTGAGAGTCCATTCTATTAAATGTCTTTCGAATGAAGAACAAATTCCGGGGCCCCCCTGGGACAACGGCGTCAAAGTGGAACAAAAAGAAAGCTCAGGACAGAAGAGCCAACAGACACCCTTGGCCGAGCGGCTGCAACTCCCCTGCCATGGGCTCAGGAAGTACCCTAGGAATGGGACACCCCAGGTCTCCACCCACATCCTGCTCCACCTTGCCTGTCCACCAGCTCCCCTGCAATTTCCGGGAGTTGCTTTCATTTCATTCACTAAACAATTTATGAATCGAATGAACATAAATGAGATGCAAATAAATTCCAGGCTTTCTCCCTCATTTTCAAATTACATTTTCAGTCCACTCGACCTGTTATAATCTCATAGCGATTTTCACTTAAGAGCTAAATGGATCTGTGATGATTGTTACAGGAACGAACACTAGACAATTAAGTGTTGAGGTGTGGATAGACAAAGCTGTGTTCCGATTTGCATAAACATGATACCAACAAATCGAACCCTGGCAGAAATTCACTTAGAAGACTTGCATGCCTAACTTCTGCTAATCACCACGAGTCCCATGATTAAGATTCTTAATATCCAGGGTTGGGATTATAGCCATTTTTATTTAGGGCCAGATTTTATCTGTATTTTGAAAACTTCGTCAAAATGCAGAGCTGACTTATCCGCGAAATGACACGATGGCTACTTATGATCAACTTCGACGGTGCAGGGTATCAAAAATCAATCGCACAGCCTTGAAACCCAGTCATTAAACATGTAGCGACTGATGGCATTTCATTTTTGTCTTGAGGAAGGCACTGACTTTGCAGATACCAGCAGAGGGAGACGGACATGGGAGGCAGCTGATAACCGGAGGTGGAGAATGAAATTCCAACCAGGCAAAAGCAGAAATGTAATGTGAAATGGTCTGGCGCTGCAGGGAGGTCACCTGGGCTGGCTGGATGTCAGTCCAACAACTCGGCAAAAGTTATGACCCACGTGCTCTTGATGGGAAGCCGCCTCCCTCAGGGGTTCCAGAGCACCTGTTAAACCCTGCAAGTCCCACTGTCCTCCCCAGTCTGCAGTTACTTCAGTTATCTATTCGTTTACTTATTATCTCCCGGGGAGTGCCCCCCGGGAGTGCCCAATGAGTGACCGGAGCAGGACCCTGGTTATCTGGACACCCGAGGATCTGAACCGGAGGCTATGCGGCCTGGTGGGGAAGAATGCTGGTAAGTGAACCACACAGAAAGACAGAACTGGGGCTGCACCCTGGCTTTGCCATTTTCTACCCACTGTGACCTTGGATGGGCTACTGAGCCTCCCAGAGTCTGTGTTTCCTCGTCTGAAAAATGGAGATAATAACAACTACCCCCGAGGGGGCTGCTGAAGAATTAATACAATACAAGCATTTAAGGTAGCGCTTGCATCATCCAAGATCTCAACAAACGCTATGTGTTACTTTTTAAAGGACACAGCTTGGCCCTGGCCAGTTTGGCTCAGCGGTTAGAGCGTCGGCCTGCGGTCCGGAGAGACCCGGGTTCGGTTCCCGCTAAGGGCATGTACCTCGGTTGCAGTTTGTCCCCGGCCCTGGTTGGTCGTGCGGGTGGCAGCCACTCGATATGTCCCTTTCACATCGATGTTTCTCTCTCTCTCTCTCCCTTCCACTCTATCTGTACAAAAAATGGAAAAATATCCTCGGGTGAGGATAAAAAAGAAAAAGGACACAGCTTGTAGGTTGCCTAGTCCGGGGAGGCCTGGGTTGGTTTAAACTTCCTCCTGTGGGTTGCCTGTCACCTCCTCTCGGGAAGCCTGCCCTGATTCCCTGGGGCCGGGTGACAGCTTCTCCTCTATCTTCTCGCTTAGCTCATCGGACGGTCCTGCATCTACATTCCACTGACTGTCAACTCCTTGAGTGTGCAGAGTACGTGATGCATTTTTTGTTCCTCTGGTGTTTAGCCAATTACCCGGCACCCAGGGGGCACTGGTACCAACTCTTCGGCTGAGGGGGCCACACAGTGAGAGTTGAGGGAGAAGCCGGTGTGACAAGAAGACCAAAGCTCTCTCGGGTTGCGGCAGAGGGTCGACCCCGCCTTTCCAGTGCCCGGAGCTGGAGAACGTTCTGTGCACGTATCAGCCCGAGGGACCTACGGCTCCTACCTTCCGAGGGAGAGACTTGTCTTCTCCAGGAGAGCGAGGAGGGGTGGAGGCGTGGAAACCGGGAACTCCCCTCAGCTCCCGGGGGAAAGTGCAACCCCTGCTACCCTGTGGTGGCAGGTTGGGAGGGACCACTTACCCGGAGCTTTCTGCCAAAGATGGTGACTTTGCCTTTAATCTGCTCCTTTCTCAGGCGCCACTCGATGGAGTTCAGGCCGTTCTCCATGGGCAGGGAGATGTTGCAGCGCCCAATGGTGGGGGTGATGGTGCCCGCCAAGACGTGGGGCTCACTGTGGAAGCTGACACCCATCCCGTTGGCATACATCACCCTCAGGGTACCGTTGTTACAGAGCTGGTAGCTGTTCCGCACTTGATCTAGGGGTGGGGATAGGGAAGTAAATTACCCACTGAGTCACGAGAGACCAGAACCCCTATTTTGATAGGTTTCCATGGTACTTTGCAGCTGTCAGTCGAAGGCCTCCTTCAAGTAGCACATACACAGTGTTAAGGTGAGTAGCAGAGATGCTACTGATCCGTGGAAAGAAAAACATGATTAGTATGTGGTACCCCAGAAACAATTATGCTGGTATATTTTTCTTCTACTCACTGAAGACTACTACTAGGACATTTAAAGATGTCTATCGCCTATACAGTGTGTGTCAATCAAATTCCTGATCTTTAACATGTATTTTACGGACAAAAATAAACAAAACCAATGTAAATACATGTGTGTGTGTATATCTGTATCTACACATAGCTTTCCTTTGCCTACCATCTAACCCGAGGCTGATGGTTTAGCCACCGGTGAAGGTCTCCTGCAAACCAAGTCTAGGATTCTTCCAGAAAATCAGGAGAGAACGCAACCGTCCTGCCCCTCGTGACTCTGCTGACGCCACCTCCGCTCGAGGGAACTCTAAAGGGACCCGGCTCGCGCGGGGAGATGGGCCCGCCGGCGCCGATAACGGGCGCTTATCTGCCCAGACGGAATCTGCACTAGTCAATCAGACTTCTGACCTTTTCCTTTATCAAAAAGTTCCAGGAAGGAACTGTGAGTCGGAGACTCCGTCCGCAGATATGTGGCTTCCTGATTATCTGGCCACAGGAGCCCGGCGGGGCTCGGGGCCGGGAGCGGCCCTGTACCTGTCACTCCTGCGACCGCGGCCACCGCGCCGGGAGACGGAATCTACATCATTAATCACTGGGCAAGGCAGAAACAGAGTCACGGAAACAGACTCCGCTGTGGGATAACGGTCCAGAAATGTCACCATTTATCTGCCGAGAGGACACTTTTGTCCTCTGACAACGGGCTAACCCACTGACATTATATCTTAATTAAAAGGAAAATTAATCTGCAGAATTCCTTTTCTTACCAGCCCCTGTGCTTGTCTGGGGTGCATGTCATGTCGAACAGCAGCAGAAACCGTGGGGTGGTCACAAACCTTTGGGATCCTAGTCTTGGCAAGAGGTTGCTAAAGAGCTCTGATTGCAGGACCAGCAACTCAACGCACAAATGCTTGCAAGAGAGAATCAGAATGGCACCAAAAAGGAAGGGTGTGCTCGAGAGAATAAGCAGGCTTTGAGAGGCTACCGCTGTGCCGGGGCAGCGAGGGGCTGGGGGGACAGTGTGTGGGGGCGGCAGTGGGCTGGTATTTTCAGATAAGCCTGTCGACATTTCCAAATACCTAGATGGTGTGGTACAGACGACGTCCCCCTGGGTCTGATTAAGTCACTTTCTACAAGGTTGAGCTCTTGCAGCGTTTGTTTGCTGTGGATATTTCACTAAAACGGCAAGTTCAGGGGTGCTTTAGGTCTCGGGAAGTCCTCTGAGGCTCGGCAACTCACACCCCTGGGCGTGGCTGGATTCTGGATCTGGGGGTGAGTTTGAGCGTAGGGGAGTAGTGGGGGGTGGGGGGGGGCTTACCTTGTACCACTGTGTAGGAGGCTTCCACTGAAGACAGGTTGGTGATGACAGTGACGTCATCATCGCGGTTGGAGTTCTCGATGTCAATGGTGATGGATTTCTCCATTTCCCGGTGCAGACTGGTCACCACCCCTGTGGGGCGTGTCACATTGGTCAGACGGCCCTCGTGGTCATAGCTGGAGGACAGACACACTGGTTGGAACATAGGTATTGGGGCTGGGGACTTTCCCAACACTCAGAACTACACAAGAGACAGAGGAAGAGATTTGAAGGTGGGGTGACCAGGTGGTACTTCTGTCTGAGGCCCCTCGTCACAACCCTCAAAACCCCCACCTACCCTGAGAAATGGTGGAGACACTTTCTATCACCCACCGATATACCTGCCTCAACTCAGTGGGAACAGTTCCCCTCCGGAAGGGTGGACTGATTATGTTCTCCCAAGTTAGTGGGGACACCTGGTAGCCCTCCGGACAACCAGCCTGGACCAAACGTCACCTCCCTGCCTTGGCTCAAGCATGGCATGCTGGGCAGCCTGTAACCTTGTCTCTGACCCTATAGCCCCAAACCAACCACGGCTCAGCTCCCCCAGCAGCCTCTGCAGACAGTCCTCCCAATGACTCACTTGACGACAGTTGCCCTTAGCACCAAGTCTCTGCACAGCCACGGTCCAGCCCTGCTGCCGGAACGCTGCCTGCAGCCGAGCTGTCCCCTGCGAAAGTGCCACTTCACACTCTCCGCAAGTGTGCAGGGTCCTCCCCCACCTCCAGCAGGAGCCTTGCAGCTCCACGCCTGGGCGGGGGGCACTTCTTGCTCTGGAAGAGCCACTGGATTCAGAAAGCCCAGGCCCCCCTTCTGCCCCAGGACAGTGAAACACCCTCCTTTCAAGGTCTAAAGGCAGAAGTCAGATTTGTTTCTGGGGAAGGGAGGGGGAGGAAGAGGGGACACAGAAGGCATTTTGCTTGGAGGGTTAGAAAGGAGGGGAAACAACTCAGCCTCTGGGTGTGACTCGCCTGGACTGGAGACAGGGCCAAAGCCAGAGGCTGAGTGAGGGAGCTGGGAGCCTGCACGGCAGGGGGGAGCAGGAGGGCCCGAGCGAGGTTCTGTGGACAGAACCACTGGGCCTGTCGCACTTTCTCAGTGCCCAGGACCACAGACACACACACGGACGGAGCCCGCTCAATGTTTCTGGAGCAAAGGTGCAGCCCTGCTTTCTGACTCTCGGGGATGTGAGAGATTTTGCTGCTGGGCTGAACTGGGAAGAGTCGAGGTCTGTGGACGTTTGAAGGCTGAGACCAAGTTGGATTTCTTCTTCCTCAGGGATGAAAGGGTAACTCAACGTCCACACATCAATCAATGTGCTAAACCACATTAACCAAATGAAGGCTACAAATCATACGATCATCTCAATAGACTCAGAAAAGCCTTGGACAAAATTCAACATCCATTTATGATAAAAACTCAACAACGTGGGCACAGAGGAACTGTACCCCAACATAATACGGGCCATCTCTAACAAGCCCACAGCCAGCATCATGCTCAGTAGTATAAAGCAGAAACCTTTCCGTCCGAGACCGGGGACAGAGACAGGATGCCACTTTAGTCAACATAATACTGGAAGTCCCAGGCCAAGAAATTAGGCAAGAAAATGAGATAAAGGCACCCAAGTAAAACTGTCACTAGTTGCATATGACATGATATTATATAGAAAACCCTGAAGACGTTACCAAAACACTGTTAAACTAATAAACAGATTCAGTAAATTTGCAGGATACAAAAATCAATATATAAACACCTGTCACATCTCTAGACCGCAATAACAAGCTAGCAGAAAGAGAAATTAAAAAACAATCCCATTTTCAATCGCATCCACTAGAATAAAATACCCCGGAACAAATTTGACCAAGGAGGTAAAAGACCCATCGACGAAAACTGTAAGCCACTGATGAGGGAAACTTAAGATACAAATAAATAGAAACATATTCTGTGCTCATGGAGTAAAAGACATAACATTTTAAAAATGTCTATACTACCCAAAGCAATCGACAGGTTCAATGCAATCCCTACTGAAATTCCATTTTTAAAAAATCAACAAATAAAACTACAGCAAACTAAAAAACTTCCTCACAGCAAAGGAAACCATCAACAAAATGAAAAGACACCTACTGAATGGGAGAAAATATTTATAAAGCATATATTTGATAAGGTGTTGATACCCCAATTATATAAAGAACTCATAGAACTGAAGAGCAAAACACAAAACAAAAAAATCCCCCCAAAACCAAACTAGCCGATTAAAAAATGAAGAGGCATTTTTCATGGAAATAGAACAAGCCATTCTAAAATTTGTATGGAACCACAAAAAAACCCAAATAGCCAAAGCAATCTTGAGAAAGAAGAACAAAGCTGGAGGTATCAAGCTCCTTAGTTTTAAACTATATGTGCCCTGGCATGCGCCCTGGCCAGTTTGGCTCAGCGGTTGGAGCATCAGCCTGAGGATCAGAGAGTCCCAGGTTCGGTTCCCTCTAGGGGCACATACCAAAAACAAAACAAAACAGCACATTACTGACCTAAAAACAGACATACAGATCAATGGAACAGAACAGAGCTAGGAAATAAATTCACATCGATATGGTCAATTAACGACAAAGCAGCCAAGACTCTACAGTGGGGTAAGGACAGTCTTGTCAATCAAGGGTGTTGGAAAAACTGAACAGCCGCCTGCAGACAAATGAAACGTGTCCACCATCACACACTACTCCCCAAAACTAAATGATTACAAACTTGAAAGTAGGAGCTGAAACCATAAACTACCAGAAGAGAATATGAGTGGCAAGCTCCTTGACGTCAGTCTTTGTGACTTTGGATTTGACACCAAAAGCGAAGGCGACGAAAAAAAAAAATCAACAAATGGGACGACATCAAACTAAAAAACTTCTGCACAGCAAAGGAAATGATCAACAAAATGAAAAGGCACCTACTAAATGGGAGAAGATAGCTGCATACCTGACAAGGTGTTAATATCCTATATATAAAGAACTCAGAAAATTCAAATGAAAACACCGGCCTGAGCAGACGTATGCACCACATGTTCACTACAGCGTTATTTACAATAGCCAAGCTCTGGAAACAACCATCAACGTGTGAAGGGATGTAGAGAACGTGGTGTAGATACGCCATGGAACGGGGTTTAGCCATGACAGGAATGAAATCCTGCCATTTGAGACAGCGTGGATGGACCTTGAGGACATTATGCCAAGGGACATAAGTCAGGCAGAGAAACACACTAAAAAGCCCAAACGAGCTCATGGATACAGAAGACAGATTGGTGGGGGGCTGTAATGGGGAAGGGGGTCGAAAGGTGAAAACTTCCTGTTATAAAATAAGTCATGGGATGTCATGTATGCAGGGATACTATTGTTAACAATACTGTATTGCATATTTGAAAGTTGCTAAGAGGGTAGATTTTGAAAGTTCTCATCACAAGAAAAAATTTTTTATAATTGTATGGTGATAGATGTCAACTAGACTTATTGTAGTTATTGCTTTGCAATATATAAATACTGAATCATTATAGTCTTATATGCCAATTGCACCTCAATAAAAAATAATATAACAGTTGTAAGTGTTTGGGCATGGGGTACCTAGTGGGGTACTCAGTAACAGCATCCCCAGTTCTTGCACAGTAGGGACTGTGTGAGGTGCTAATTCTGTGGGACCCAGGCCGGACTGAATCTCAGTCCCCTGTATTACCTGGACACCTCCAATGTACAGGTTGCCCTGCCTCCCTATGACAGAAGCAGCAGGAATCGGAGATTCTACTTTCGGGGGAACAGAGGATTGGGGTTGAGACCAGAATCTCAGGGGCAACAGGGCAAAAAACATGTCCCCTTGAACTTTCAACGAAGATTCCGTTGCCTACAGCTCTGCCTACCTCCCCTGTGCAGCGAGCGTCTTCACATTTGGGTCTTTTTGCAAATAAGCCCACACGCCATTGCAAGGGGCTGTGAGTTCCTGGGCTGGGATCTCGAGGCCACCCAGTGAAACCAGTCCAGCCTCGGTCTGTGAGGTGCTGGGGGCTGCCTCTGACTCCTTTATTCGGTGAGGACTCACTGAGGGCCTGCTATGTGCTTGGCACCGTGCCAGGCGCTGGGGACATAGCTAGGAACAGAATGTGCCCTTGTGACACGTACATGCTGGAGAGAGGGGGCAAAATAAACCAAGTCAAATTTGGAGTATGTTAGGTGGTGATAAGTGGTAAGATTTAAAATAAAAGGCGGAGAGAGGGAATAAGGGAAGGAGAGAGAGAGCAGGGGCGGTTGTAATTTTAAGTTCTGTGCCTGTTGGAGGTCCAGGCTGCTCTTCCTCAGTCTGAGCGTTCAGGAGACCCAGCAGGACTTCCAAATGGCAGGCCCGTGCTTGCCTCATTCGGACTGGCCTCCTGAGAATGACACTGTTTTTCCCCCAATATGGTGAGCCAACAACTAAATGATCTCTGAAATGCACTGGGTCTTTATTTTTATTAAAAACATTTTTTTTTTCCTTTATTGACTTTAGCGAGAGAGGAAGACAGAGATAGAAACATCGATGAGAGAGAACATCCATTGGCCACTGGGGATCGGCCCACAACCTGGGCATGTGTCCTGACCGGGAATCAAACGGCAACCTCCTGGTGCCGGGGTCGACGCTCAACCACTGAGCCACAGCGGTTGGACTGCACTGGGTCTTCAGAAGGGAAGATGAAGATCTAGGAGGTGCTTGGTGTATCTTTAACCTAACTTGGTGTGAGAGCTAAAGATGGCACTTAGATAGTGCCTTCGGGAACAGAGTAACTGGAGCATAATGTTTGATCAAGTCTCTGTGCCCTGAAGGATGTTTGGATGCTTCAGAAGTCTGAGGACAGCTTTGCCCAAAGACAAGACACAGCAAGGGAGAGCAATTCTGCAATACAGTCAACTCCCGGCAGGTGGCAACAGCTTCCTGTACATTCTCCCAAACCCACTGTCAATACCATCGGAAAGTGAACACTCCTGGATTTAGGAGTGAGCAACAATGTTTCTCCCTTGTCCCCCTTTCCCTCTGTGACAGCCCCTCCCTAACTTACTAAATTCTGGGCTAGCAGCAATGCCGAGACAGAAAGCAAACAAGGATTCCAAATACATAGGGTTAACCAGATCCTTCACCATCAAGGAGAGCCGGATACTTGAAAATTCATTCCATCCCAGGCTCCGCCGGCAATTGGCAGAATGAGGCCTTAGCAATTCCCTCCAGCCAGCACCCCGCTGGTCAGTCCCTGCAGCAGCCGGCAGCTGGACCAAGTGCTGCTGGCAGGAACGAGGGAAAACAGCTTTCTGGCGAAACAAGCGGCAGCACTATTAAGCATGAGATAATTGTTAGGGGAAATATGACCAGCTCTCCCATCTTTTAATATACCTAGCACTTTATCTGTATTGATCTGCTTCTGCTGAAGAGGAAATTCAGAGTTTATCTACCTGTCTGCGTGATCAAGTGTGTGCAGGGCCCAGTGGCAAATTACAGCTGCCCTGCCAGGATCTCGCCTTTTCGGTGCTAATTTCCGTATTCGCGGCAAATGCGAATAATCAGTGGAGGGAATCAACACTTGATCTCCCAGGTGCTGTGTGTGTCCAATATCCTGACGCTTGAATGACAAGCAGGCAAGAGGAATCCCTTCTCTCAGGGAGAAGGCTCGCTATCAGAGCCCAAGAGAGCAAACGGCTTAGGAGTCAGGGAGAGCGAAGATGAACGTAGACAGGCAAGTTAGAAAGACAACACGAGCCTGGCCAGTGTGGCTCCGTGGTTGAGCGTCGATCCACGCACCAAGAGGTTGCGGGTTTGATTCCCGGTCAGGGCACATGCCCAGGTTGTGGGCCCGATCCCCAGTGGGGGGCGTGCAGGAGGCGGCCAATCGATGTTCTCTCTCATCGATGTTTCTATCTCTCTCTCCCTGTCCTTCCTCTCTCTCTAAAATCAATAAAAAAAAACAACAAACAAACCAGAAATACAACATGACTAAGCAGTTCTCAAAGCTATACGACGGCCAGTTCTGATTCTGATGCCAGCTAGGGCAGGGTGAGCTCAGCTCCTGAGAAACACCTTATAAATCGACTTATACATCAACTTACTCATAGAACGTTGTCCAGCCTGTTTCATCGCTCCTGGTGGCGAGGAGGCCGGTGTTCCCATCGTAGGTCATGAGGCCAAGCTCCAGGTTCTGCGTGGACACCACTTTGAGACCTCCGTTGGCGCCCACGGTGAGGGTGATGATCTGGTTGTCGGGCATGAGCAGGTGCCGCGCTACGCCACTGCCATCGCGGCGGATCTTCAGTGAGTTCCCACTGTTGTCGATCAGTTCAGTGACATCACTGTCAGCGCTGTATGTGAAATTGTACAGGTACTCCCCCGTGACCAGGCTCACGGTGTACTGGTGGATGCCGTCGGCGTTGAAGACATACAGCTCCTGTTCTCCGGGCGACGCCGCCTCGTACTGGTTGAAAGCATTGAGGACGGGCTTGTTCTTGCTGACCGCCCTGATCCGAATGTTTCCGAGGTCCGCGATGTAGATGGTGCCGTCGGGGGCTACGGCCAAGGAGGACGGGGAATTCAGGATGGCGTCCGTGGCGTAGGCGTCATCTCCGGAGTAGCAGTTGCAGTTGACGTCGTTCTTGCAGTCACAGTCAGAGGCCGCGCCCGCTAGGAGGCAGATCTCCCCGTTGGTGGTGACCTGGCGCAGACGGTTAATCTTCTTCTCGTCCGTCTCGGTGATATAGAGGACCCCGGTGTGAGAGATGGCGATGGCGCTGGCCGACTCCAGGGCGGAGTGGATGGCCAGTTTGCTGAGCGAGTAGTCGATGCCCGGGACCTGGCAGTGCATGGGGCGTCCCGCGATGATGCTGACCTGGTGGTTCTCAGTGATGCGAAGGATGACGTTGTTTTCCAGAACATACAGGGAGTTGTCCATGGGGTTGACAGCAAGGTCTGTTGGCCACTCCAGGCGAACCTGTCGATGACAGGGCATCTGATTAAAGAACAGCCTCTAACATGCCCAAAGTTTAGCTGTGTCGGACACTTAAGCTGCTTTTATGCAGCTGGGGAGAAAGGACTTTTGTCTAACACCCTGCACGGAGACGTGGCCATCATTAAACCCCTTGCCCTTGCCCATGTTGACTCTTCACGATGCAGAAGAGACTATGTCACAAACATCTCCTACTGTGTCATCATCTGTGGCTACAGTAGGTCACCAGCTCTCCCCACGATGTCAGAGTCGTCACCTACAGTTCCACAGGTTGTCCACTGCGCAAGGGGCTGCGATTCAGCCCGTGTTCTGCTCACCGAGCCCTGGGCCTGGGGAGGCTACGTTCACTCAGAGAACACCCCCTTATCTGATTCACAAATAGACGCCGTGCCGTTTGGAGCGTGGCCCTGACTCGAGGGCGCCCCCGCCCAGGCTGGCCAGCAAGTGACAACTTGAGGGCTTGAGACAAGGAACTGGGCAAAACATGTTCCTTCTCCGCAGAGTTTGAAAGGAACATCTCAGTAGAAAGTTGTCAGTTTGTTGCAGAATTGGAGCTGAAATTAAGGAGGTTGACTGAGGGATGGAAGGGTGACAGGAGGGGTTAACATACAGCCCAGGGGGTCTGGGATCCATGCAGTAAAGTCCGGTTTCTTAGGCTGTACAGCTGCGCGAGCCTGTGTCTGGGCAACAGGAAGAGCCCAGACGACAGGAAGCTCACTTGGGAGAATACTGTAGAGAGCTCTGCCCCAGTTCTTACTGCACAAAATAAAGGTGTATGTAGTGAGGATGCAATCGTTTCAGATTAACAGGGAAGCTCTGAGTGACATGTGACACCGTACACTGCATTCTCAAACCTGCAATAACGGCGGAGACGAGGGGCAATTATTACCAGTAACTCCTACCCTGTAATCTGCCACGGCTGCAGCAGGTCACCGGCTCCACTTTTCGGAGCAGGATTTCTCCCTCCCCCTCTCCCCTACCCGACGTTTCCCAGTCCGTCCTGCTGCCTAGTTCATTTCAAGCCTCCTGCAAACAAACCCGCGATCTCTGTCGCCCCCTTCCCACCCCACTGAAACAGGTTGCTGATGAGAACTTCAGGCCAAGAACCAGACATGGCTTAGTGGAGAGAGAGAGACAGACAGACAGACAGACAGACAGACACCTACCTGGGCCACATCCATGCTGGAATCACAGCTCAGTGGGCGGACGGCGGTGAGGTCATTGGAGCCCAGCAGGGTGGAGATGATCCCATTCTGGTCGACCTTCCGGATCATGGTGGCATCGACAAAGTACATGAGGCCATTCTTGTCTACCGCGATCCCTGAACAAGACAAACACTGGGAGTGTGTCTCGGCAAAGGGCAGGGTTTGTGGGGTGCAGTGGGGATGCCCTACTGGGCATTCTCTTCTTGGACCTTACTGAGTGGATTACCCTCGGAGCAGTGGTTCTCTACCTAAGGTGACACCCCCTTCTCATGAGCACTGCGCTGAGATCTGCATGATTCCTGGGGTGCTGGCTGTCTCACCACCCAAGAAGAACGGACCTTGGGCTGTCGATAAACCAAGGCTGCCTCTAGAGGGACGAATGGGAAAATAACTTTGCATCCGCTCTTTGTTAGAAAAGAAGTTATTTCCCAAGGTCATTGCTTGAAGAATTACGGGTGGTAAATTACTTGAATACCCTTCACAACTGACTGCAACAATGAGGTGGAGAAAGAATGATTCCTGCAGCCACTGCCATTCAGAATATACCTCCAAGAAGCATTCCCAGTTAAGCCTCGACTGCACTTAGCACACGGGTGCCCCGGGGGAGCGCAGGTCCTAGCACTCCCTGGCACACAGACGCCCCCTTCTTCTGCATCTACACTCCAAGCCCAAGCCCAAGGCTCCTTGCTGGCTGCTTTCGCTTCCCCAGTAGCTAAAAGTGCTAACAAGCATCGGATCTTCAAATGATTGGTCCTTAACCTTAAGTATCTCTAGTCCTTTTGCAAAGAGAGATCCACTGGTTCCAAGAACCTCTCCCACCAATCTCAGGCCCTTGGAAAGCATATCCATTCTTACTGGGCATTTACAAAATGTCAAGCACTGTGCTTTAGGATGTGTGCGCACCATTGTGTAATGTGAACATCTGGGAGTGGTTGAGGGCCAACTACCGGGCTCTGTGCTGTCTCCAGCCCACACGGCTGGCCCTCTGGCTCCTGGAGCTAACATTTCCTTCTGACTTTGCGACCGGCTGCAGTCAGAAATCTCCAGGAGCTGAAGTTGACTTGAAATAAATAAATATAAACAAACAAACAAACCCACTCTCACACACCAAAGCTATCTATCAGAGTTCAATCGTTCTAGGGAAAGCTGTGTTTGGAGGGAATTGCCTGGGCTCGGCTGAGTTCCAAGAAGAAGCCAAGCTCGTGGCCAGCTCCCCGGGGCTGGCTTCCTTCCTTTGCGGGCGTTACCTCGGGGGCTCATGAGCGTTGCATCCACAGCCTTCCCTCCGTCCCCGCAGCGGGCTTCATCGAAGGGCAAGCATTGCTCCCCAGTCCCTGCCATGACCTCCGAGTTCCCGGCCAGGTCTTTGGCTCCACTCAGAGACTTGACTCTGTAGATTCGCCGACTGTTGGTGTCAGACACGAAGAGAGAGCCAGACACGGGGTCCACCGCCAAGTAGTACTTGTGTGCCGGGTTGTTGCTTTAGTAGAAGAAACACAGAGAGAAATGGGAGGGGGGTTAGGAGGCTGGTCTGTTCGACCAAAGAGATGACAACAATCCCAGCAAGACTCTAAGCATCGCTAATGTCTTTCCACTTTAGTGAACTGGAAAGAATCTAACATCATAACGTAGTGTTCTAACATAACATGTTGTTTTTAGCCACTTCTAATTGGGCTTCAACTCTTCATGCTGTCAGAGAACCCATTGCTCCCCATCAGGCTAAAATACCACTGCCTCGTTCCAGGGATGGGGAATCTTTGTCCTGCCCAGGGCCATTTGGATATGCAGAACTTCACTGGGAGGGCCACACAAAAGAATCACCTTATAAACGCGCCTGCTCTATCTGGTCAGGCTAATCTGGGGAGGCGTGTGAGGTTGGCTGGTATTGATCTCACCAGCCTTGTACGGTCCCGTGGGCTACGGACGTTCCCCGCCCCTGGAGGATCCCACTCTGGTCTTGCGTTTGTGTCTGTGTTTTGTGTGTCATCCTCAGTTAGCCCCATGTTCTCCAGGGGGCCTGGGGGCACTTTCATGTGACAAGGTTCTCCTTTTAATCTGTGCTTCCTCAGTGCCTCCAAGGTACTAGATCGTTAATCCTGGGGCCGCCTGGAGTCTTCCCGTCTGTGTAGTGGGAGGCTCCCAGGGGCACCCCCAGTCCTCGGCCTCAGCTCTGCTCTACGGTTCCTCAGCGTGGGTGAGAATAAAGTGGGCATCTCGCGTGAAGGAATGCAATGTCTTATTGATACTACATCCAGAATCTGAGTTACTGGGACTGGAGATATGGTTTTTAAGTCTTGGGTGATAGTCCAGAGACAGGTGTGGACAGAGAAGGGCCCGGGCCCTAAGCCACGGCAGGAGACAAATACCTTAGGGTGCGAAATGTATTAGGCAGACGCTAGACCTCTTTCTCTGCCTCGAAGCGAGGTGTCCTGTGTGTTCCTGATGAGGACACAGTAAGACTCCCAGACTTGGCTCAGAACACTGGAAACTCAACTCTGACCTAGCTGGTGACCCTAGGTAAGTCTCTTGGCTCTGCGGGGTCCTAGATTCCTGGTGATGAGGAAATCAAATCCCACCATTACTTTTGGCCCAAACCCTACAGTCTCTTTCCTTTGCACCGTCTGTCACTGGTGGGAGGTTGAGACCAGAATGGATGCGTATGCCCTTCCCATGCTGGTTATTAAAATCGCTGCCTCTAGCCTGGCCGGTGTGGCTCAGTGGTTGAGCACTGACCCCTGCACCAAGAGGTCACTGGTTCGATTCCCGGTCAGGGCACATGCCCGGGTTTCAGGCTTCATCCGCAGTGGGGGACATGCAGGAGGCAGCTGATGCATGTTTCTCTTTCATCAGTGTTTCTCTCTCTCTCTCCCTTTCTCTCTAAAAATCAATAAAAGTATGTTTTAAAAAAAAATCATTGCCTCTAGGATGCAAGCAGTGACTGCTTCTCGGCCCCAGTGTGGTAAATTAGGGTTTGGTGTCTTATGTTTAAAATAAACACAGGCTTTCTAAAAAACAGTTATTTTTCAGTTGTAGTTTGGAATTACGGGGTGGGAGGAGCTGGGAGAGGTAAAGGGTAGGCGGGGGTGACGGCAGTGTTGGGTGTATTTTTCCTGTAGATGCTAGCTAGTGAATGACTGATTAAAACACCACCAGTTGGGTTCTTTCCTGATTTAAGGGGAAAAAAAAGGAGAACTAGGAAACTATTTTTAGGAACAATTTATGAATCGAGACCATCTTTAATTCCAGCTTCTCCTCAGGTTGCTCTAAGACACATAATTGAACTGGAAGTCAAGGTCTTTCTAAAATTCCAGCCTAGATGACTAGTTTGAATGAGAAGGCTGTGCGGATCCTTCCCTTGCCCCCCCCCCCCTTCTTGGCCATTGAGTCCTTAGAGAATATCCATATATACAAAACAAATTAGGGCGGCAAGGGAGAAATCCATGCCATTTTTAATTAGATGTTGTGCGTTGTTACAGTAGCTGGCGTGGTCAGCGGAAAGATCCGGGCATCTGTGCCCATCTAGGAGCGAGGTAATTGATTCTGGACTTTCTAGGGAGCCTGATTCAAGGAGGCTTTTCGCCGTCTCTGGCAGAGAGCAGACATTGGAGGGTGCGGGCCAGTTCCTGCCGGGTCCCCGTTCTCCCCATGGCCTCTTCCTCGTGCCCACCAAGACTCTTGTGGAAAAGCTTAGCCAGCCAGACAGCGTGTTTCCGCTTCCGCGGCTATGGCGAAGGGCAAAGGGGACGAGTTTCAAGGGGGAGGGCATTGCCGCCTCTTTTTTTATTTGACCCAGTTGGGGTGCCTATCACCAGCTAATTTGGGGTGCCTGAGAAGGAGGCAGAGGACTGTTCCTATATATGGGTATTCCACTGACGTGGATGATCTTATACAGCCTGACTTTACCCTCTACCCAATTTTGACCGAACATCATGAAGCCCCTTCTAGGTTCTGTTTCCAGGCACGAGGAGAGGCATTCCCTCGAGTATTCGAATGCATTGCCTTGGTTTCTTTTCCTCTTCCAAGTAAAGTAAGGTCATTTTTCTTTCAGAAAGCCCAGGTGACATCCATGTCAGAGCACCCCGGGGCAACCCGGACTTGTCCTAACTTTGTCAGGGAAGCTCCTTGGACTCCAGCACATACTCATGTGTTGGTACCACTGTGGTTTTAAACGATAACCTTGGAGCAATCGAATGACAAAGGCTCTCTGGACAAAAGAGTATTTGGTCGACACCCTTCATGCTATGTAAAAGTGACAGAACTCCATGAGAATCCCCAATGTATCCGACTGTTGGATACACTCTGACCAGCAGATTGGCAATTAAGTTTTTTTTTTTTTTTTTTAAATGACCACATATCCAGGGGGGGAAAATCATTAATGAGTTGAAAATGAGTTTTTGACCCGTTTCCAGTTCATTAAAGCTTTTGTGAACCCAGTCCAGCATTTACAAAAGCCAGAAGTTTGCCTCAACTGTTTAGCCCAATTACGGACCAGCCGGGATAAAAGTTCGCTCAGGGTTCATTATCTTGCCGTTGCATCTCCCGGCAATTCTAATTACTGTCAGCTTCTTTGGTTGCTTTTGACTGCATTTCATAATTGCTAAAGCTTATCATATCCACAACACACAATCAGCACATAAAAAAAGTTGCTATTTTGGTACATAAAAATATACAACATTACATGAGAAGAAAGAAAAAGAAAGCAAAGACAAGCAAACGAACCATATCAAATTATACAGGAAAGAGTTTTTCGTCTTACCTATGTTTAAACTCTTTATTTCTTTATAGAAAGAAAACAGAAGGAAAAAGAACAAACAGTTAGCCGGAGAACTGATGATAAAGCAAACATCACATTTTCATTTCTTGTCATAATGGGGCCCCCAAAGGGCAGGCTTTTCCTGTTTCCTCCCCTTCTAGCTGACAGCTCCTGGCTCCGTTCCTGGGAAGCCCCCCTGGTGTGGGATTCCTCCCGGCCATTGGAAAATCTGGACAGGAACGCGTGAATTCTGGGACCAGCAACGTGGCTGGCACACAGGTGGCAACAGGTGAAACAGATCTTCTGGCTAATGAAAGGATGGCAAGTACGTGCCCCCTCGGACGCCAACACATATTGATGGGTGCTGGCTGCTGGGAGGCTGGAAAAGAGTCCGAAGCCAAACTCAAGCTTAGCTGGAAAGTGCGCTGTGACTCCTCTGTAACATCGGCCACCATTTGGGGGGATTCTGGCGCCACCTATTGGCCATCGGTGCACTGCAGGATAGAGTCTACCTCCCAGGAGAAAGCCCCAGCCCACACCCAAGTGCACTTTGGCAAACACCTGTTAGACCTGGAGAATTTCAGTCATTTCCTGTACCTGTTCCAAGCCACCTTCTCTCTCCCCATCCACCTGCGGGTGTGGGACCCCAAGTATGCATTCTCTTTACGTGAAATTCTCCGGTAATAATATCCCTGCTGTCATTGGAGCCAAAGACCGTTCCTTTCAGAAAACTAGTAAAAGTTTTTGTTTTGTCTCTTGAGAACAAAAATACATGGCAATTTCAACAGGAAAGTGGCTGAAAGGTAACCACATTGGGGGGTGGGGGGGTGGGGGGAAGAGAGATGCTAGGCCCTCAAGTTCCTGAGGCTTCTAGGCCAAGGTAGGAGGGACCTCTCTTCTGCTTCCGGCGGAGGGAGGAGACTTCAGGGAACTAACAAGGAGGGTTTAATGCCCTGGTTCTTGCTCAGGTGCAGCTCAGGCCTCTGCTGGGGGCCATCATTAGTGCTGGGTTTGCACAGGGATTACATTTTTACATTTTATTCCAACGTGTTAGTTTTTGCGAACAAAAAAAAAAAAGTTAATTAAATGATGCTGATAACTCCTGAGCTCTGACTGACATGGTGCAATTTCAGATTCATTCTGCGAAGCCTGGTGTGTGAGGGCGGCAGCGGGAATTCGCACGTCTGTTTTATATTGCTTAATGAAAGTGAAATGTTATCTGCGACCAGTGGTAGTCATATTTGGCTCTTAATTATTGCAATCTCAATTCCACTTTCTTTTAAAGTCAAGATTTTGTAAAAAGACTGCATGCAATTTGGGTCTGCAGGCCTGACCTACTTCTTGCCTAAGAACATCTGCTTTAAGTTGATTAATATAATAATAGCTCTGTTTGGGGAAGGAGAAGAGCAGGGGTGGAGGACCAAGTCACTAGGAGTACAGAGCTGAATGATCACGTGGACACGAGCTTTGGAGAAAGCCTGAGGTCACGGCTACTCCTGCCCAGGGCCATTAGTAGGGTAGGTACTTAGCAGTCAGCAAACCAAAATAGCATCATCGTGTCGGTCTAGGTAGATAAGCACAGGTGTCCTACTTTCCATGGACAGGCCTAGGCTTTGTGTCCATGGCCTTAATGACACCAACCCTTTAGGCTTACACTGAGGAAAAAGCGATGTCTCAGGTTCAAGAGCTGAGCTGGATCAGCTGTTCACACGCTGGCATCTCAAGGA